GCAGGGACCTCACACTGGGGCTCTGATCTCCTCCTCAGTCAGGCGACAATCTGACAGCTTATCGTTCATTTCATTTCATTTCACTGCATCTCATTTCATTTCATCTATTTCGTTGTTCGAGAAAGGATTTCAGATGGCTTATAAGGGTATAAAAATATATGAATATAGCATAAATTAGAAGTGGGGTAAAAAAAAGGAAAACAAGGGAGGGAACAAAAGTGAGGCATAATAATGCTCGGTTCTCTTGGCTGTCATTTCACTTAAACCTGGTCTAATTTCTTTCAGGGTTTACGGCTACATTGTGGGCTGTGTGAAGGATTAGGGTTTAAGCTGCCAGCGCTCCTTCCGCCCCCAAAAGCCTCGCATGTCTATAGAAGCTAAAGCTACCAAATCCATACTTGATTTGTTTAATGAAATGTTGTGCTTCTTAGCAGTCGCGCGATGTCGAGCGAGCATTGTCTGGCGGTGAGAAAGTCTGCCTGCCCGGCCCGCGTTGCCGAGCGCTGCCAATGACTTTTTGTGCCCGTGAATTCGGGTCCTGCGGCTGCTCTGTAAGCCAGCTCTGAATGCACAGCGCCTGGCTGCAGGGCCGTTTGGCCTCTCTAACAGACCCAGGCTTCGAAGGCCCCCGAGGCCCCTGGCCCCAGGTCAGCAATGAGCTGGCCACCCCAGACTTGAGGGCCTTCTGGAACCCAAACGGGGGATAGCGCCCTATCTTTTAGGCTGTGGGGTGGGAAATGAAGCACCCTTGAGCCCGTTTGCTTTGTAGTCCTCAATGGAGAGAGAAACCCGTGGTGCTCAGAAGCGTGAAAAACAATGGCCTCAAGGTGCTGGGGCCACGGCTCCCTCTGCTCTGCTCCCTCCTTACTGTGGATCTGTCCCTGCACGCAGTTTGCCTTTGTGGTCCCGGGGAATGAGTAAACTCAGGAGTGAAGGAACCCCGGCTCAGCCTCTGTTTCATGAAAGCAAAGCAGACTGAATGGATCAACCACGGCTGCAGAACCCCACCTTTGCACTGAGGGCGGGTCCACCGGAGGCGAGCTCCGGAAGTCCCTCCGACGACATTTAAGCCAATTTTTTGGAAGAACGCAGTTGATTCTTTTCTCCATTACTTGAATTTCCTCAGGAACACTATTCAAATGCAGCATCTGCTGTGTGTGTGTGTAAGGTCGTGACTTTCTCTAAATAGTAATTATTAAACAAAACCAAAGGGAAGTCTTCTGTAAGGATGCTGTTTACAAATATTTGCCACTTTTAACAGTGGTTAATTGAAGTTGCAAAGTGTTGTATTCTCAGCTCCTTAGAGTACTCCTTAGAGGGCTGGGCCGTCTCCAAGTTGTCCCTGGCCTTGTCTACAGGGTGGCCTCTTTCCTGGGACCCGGTCTTCAGCCCCTTCTCTCCTCCCCCTCTCTCTCCCTATGCGGCTTCTCTGGGGCTCTTCGTGACGGTTCCTGGCGGGGTCCAGAATGAGGTCCCTGGCTGTGAGGGAGGAGAATGTGTCCAGGAATGCAGCGCAGGCTCACCACGCTGGAGGCACATTTGCATGGGGACCTGTGAGGCTCCTGAGGCCAGTGAGGAGGACAAGGCTGGAGGACCCCAGGTCACCACGCGCAGCCTAGGGAGGGCACAGAGGCCATTTGGCAGTGCCACACTCTCTGCCCCTTTCAGGCCCCTCTGTGCAGCCCAGGGCTTTGGACGGACAGGGCAGGTGCAGCAGCTGAAGGGCAAGGGAGCCTGCTCCCAGGCTGGACCCCCGGGCTGGTTTCCAGGCTGAGGATCCACAGATTGTGCAGGCTGGGAGAGGTGGGGCCCAAAGAGGAGGGGGCCAGGTCAGGTTCACCTTGGTGGCACTAGCCATGGGTCATAGGTGGGTTGTCAGCAACACCAGGAAAGGGGTGGTGGGAGCTAGCTCCTCTGTGGGAGAGGAGCTGGCCTTAGGGTGGTGGCCTCAGATGGGAGGTGGTTGGCAGACACAAAGACTGGCGGGTGACCTGGAAGGGGTGGTTATCGGGAAATCGGGCCAGGGACAAAACGCTTCCTCCTTCCTTTCCTCTCTCCTTCCCCTCTTTCCTCCTGTCTTCATTTGCTCATCACCCGCTCTCATGGCCTCACATCAGGCACCGGGAAGACGGTTGGCGTGGCCCTGCCCATCTTGCCTTTGACTTCTTGCGGCTGGAGGGTCTGTAAACACTGGGGAGGCGCTTGAGCAGGGGGCCTCTGCACTGGCCCCAGGCCCTAGAGCTTCCAGCAGCCTGTGTGGCTCAGGAAACCAGGGTTAGGGCTCTTTCTGCGGCGTCTTCCAGCAAAGAATGAGGCCTCGGTGGAAACAGTGCTGACCCCTTGTAGCTGACCCCTTGTAGCTGCACGTGTGAAATGAGAGGGGCGCTTCATGGAGTGCTTGCAATGTTGCCCCCTCTGAGTCCTGCCTCAGCCCTGAGAAGGCAGTGCTGTTCTCACCGGTGCTTCGTGGACGAGGAAGCCAGCTTGGGAGGCGGAGTGACTCGCCCAAGGCCCACGCAGTGTGCCCAGTCTTTCCCAGTGCCAGACCTCCACTGCTGAAGATGGCATGGTGAGATGGGGGATGCTCCAGAGGACCTGCAAGAGAGAGGACTGTGGCTATTACATGGGCTTTATTCAGTATGATTTTAAAAATGAGGCACAATTAGGTGTGTTAGGGTAACTATACAAAATTGCCATTTTTATATGTCGAAGATGGTCCCATATGGTTTCATATGGTCTGGCTGATAGTTTAAGGTATAGAAAAAGAGCAGAGCTCACGTTAGTCTTTTAGAATAGGTTGGTCTCCTGGTTCTGACGGAGGCCATCCCTCCCAGGAAAGCTATTGGATGCTGGTGCTCCAAGTGTGGTTTGGGGTTAGAGGAGGGTGCTAGGGTTTAGATAGGAATCCACAGAATTTCTGCATCAGGGTCTCTGGGGGGTGGCTGGCAGACGCACTTTTAACAGGACATCTGTGGACTTATAGACACACCCGAGTTTGACAACCACTGTTTGAAGGCGTAGCTCCGTGCTCCCCTGGGTTCATAGAGGTCCTCGGACTGCTGGTTCATCAGCACGAGAATATTCAGCCTCTGTTCGAGTCTGGGAGTCATACTTCAGTATCCTTTGGGACAAGCAGTGTGTATCATCTGCTACAACATGTAGTCTCTTTTTTTGCCCCCGTATTAGTCAGGTTTCTGCAGAGAACAGAACCCAGTAGATGTGTATATATATGTAGAGAGAAAGATATTTTAAGGAATTGGCTCCCATGATGAAGGAGACTGGCAAGTCCAAAGTCTGCAGGATAGCCTGGCAGCCTAGAGAGCCAGGGAAGAGGTGGTGATTCAGCTCAAGTCTGACGGCCATATGCTGGCAGCCCTTTTGCTTGGCGGAGGTCAGTCTTTGTTCTACCCAGGGCTTCACCTGATTAGACGAGGCCCACCCACATGATAGAGGGCAATCTCCTTTACTCAAAGTCCACTGATTTAAACGTCAGTCTCATCCAAAAACATCCCCTTAGGAACATCCAGACTAATGTTTGACCATATAACTGTGGCCCAGGCAAGTTGACATATAAAATTAACCAGCCCCTAAAATTCCATCTTTCAAATATCCAGAAGTTTCTTTGGTTCTAGAAGTTTGATGTAATATATGCAAGGTAGGGTTCGAGACCCTGTGGGGCCACAGAAATGCATAAAACTTTATAAAGAAGCCTGAGTTCTTTCTATCAGTTAATCCATTAGCGTGGAATAGCTATTCTGTGCCTATCTTAGACAAGGGTGAGCGTTCCATAATTTTATAAACATAGGTCATTTCTCAGTCTTCTTTGATGTCAGACCCTCTCTCCCTCCCTCCCTCTCTTCCTTCCTTTTCTCCTTCTTCCCTCCCCTCCCTCCCTCCTTCCCTTCTTTCCTTTATCCACTCAACATTTATGGGGCATCGGGCATTTTCCAGGTACTGGGCACTGGGGAATCAGAAGTGGAGCAGACATGCTGCTACCAGCAGTGAGCTTAGAGCCCGAGAGGGCCTCCGGGGGTGAGTCAGTCTCCTGAAGGCCAGAGTCAGCCTCCCCAGCCAGGTTCCCTCCCCTTCTCGAAGGCCTCCTTAGAAACATGCAGCCTGCGATAGTCCTGGTTTGTCCTGCGGGCAACACCTCATCTTCTTACAATGCATCCTTTCTTCTAAAGAGAGGGGATGGAGGACCAGCAGCCTCCCCTGGTAGCTGGTGGGACATGCAGACTCTCAGGCCCCACCCCGACCCACCCAATCAGCACCTGTGTTTTAACCAGACCCACAGGTGATTCCTGCGCAGGAAAGTCTCCCCTGTGCTTCCCGAGTCCTCGAGCCCTTCAAACACACAGAGAAGTCCCATGTAAGATCTGGCAGAACGATGACCCGGATAATGGGCATGCTGCTTGGGGAGATTTTCAGCAAGTGGAAGAGGCTGGAATTCATTCCAAAGCTGAGCAGGACAGGTCCCCAGTCATCTTCTTGGGCTCAGAGAGGGGCAGCCTGGGCCCCTAAAAAAAAAAATCCTTCTTTCTGGGTTGTTGGGAAAATGCTCAGATCCACAGTGCACGGATGGCATGTTGAGAGCCAGGCATGACCCGTGTTGTCACAACAGTTACCAGGCGGCACGGAGGAGGGCCGGAGCTCCTGGGGCTGGCACTGGAACCAGGCCGGCTCCTCATGGAGAGGTTGGGGTAACGCCTGCTGCGTAGGCTGTCCTGAGGATTAAGTGAGATTATGCATGCAAATCACCCAAGCAGCAGCTATTATTTTTATAACAACTGGCTGTGTAACTGCCCTGTGTGCCGAGCCAGCAGACTGTGGCTCTGGGGACGCTCCAGGACCTGACTCATCCAAGGACAGGTGGGGGCAGGTCGAGGAGGAGGCCACGTTTGGCTGTGGCAGTGCCTTCTAGGTTGTTCACGGAGGCACTGTTTACCCCTGGGTGCTCAGGCCTAGATTCCTGAGAGAATAGGTAAGAAGCAGGGAAGTTAACATGACATGTTGCTCAGTAGATTTCCTTTAAAAGGTGTTCTCTCTCTCGGAGGTAATGACAGATGTGAGTGTTGCTATGGTGACAGGTTGTCTGTTTAGACACTCACGGCACAGTGGTTCGGATGGCTTGCCTACAATTTACGGTCATGGGAAGTAAGCAAGCCCCTCCCAGCAAGTTTTAGCGAGGGGTCTTCTTCCTTCCGGGCTGGTTTTCAAAATGGGGTTGACTTTGTGCCTTGGGTGACTGGGCAAGATGGGAAACCACTGCATATATTCGGAAGGGCAGAATCTATGCACCGCCCACGGTTGAAAGGTCAAGGTCTCTTCAAGAACTGAAGGAGATTTCAAAAAAATTCCACGAGGAGCTTAGAGCATCGAAGAATTGCGTGGTCTGGGATCCTCCGAGAACATTTCACTCAATAGTGAGTTTCTTTGTAGCAAACGGCTCTTCCTTTTTGCTAGATTAGAAGTAGAATCTATAGCTGGTCATGCATTTGTTTCAATATAACAAGGCTTCACAGAGTGCCTACTGTGTACGTTGTGGGTCCTGTGCTAGGAGGAGATGGAGGGTGGGGTGGTGAGACGTGAAGATGAATAAGACGTGGTCCCCGCCCTTCAGAGGTCAGGGTGGGAGAACCAGATGGACACAGGCAGACTGTGGTAGAAGCTTCGAGTGCTGTGGAGACACAGCTGGAGTCACGCGTGAGTGCGTGTGGATGGCTGGGTTAATTCCAGTGGTGGGGTTGGGTCTGAGAAGCCCTTCAGGAAGTGGTGGGGATTTTAGGGGAATCTTGAAGGATGAGCAGGGATCCAGCAGGAAGCGATGTGGCAGAAGGGCCGTGAGGAGGTGAAGGTGCCTGCCAGGCAGAACACAGAGATTTTGGGGCAGAGCCAGTGGCCTGGGTGACTGGAGCCCCAGGGCCGGGTTGGGTGTAGGGGCGAGCTTGGAGCACTTGGCTGGGTCAGGGGGCGTCTTCACTGCCTGGTGGAGGAGTTTGGACTCAGTATCACTGAAGACTTTTCACCTGGAAGGTGCCATGGCTGGCCAGGCCCAACGTTGTCAGTGGACAAGGGTGAGATGGCATGGAGAGACAGGGCGCTGGGGAGGACCCCTCGATGGTTGGTTGTGACAAATGGTGATGGCGTCAGTCTCCACCCCTGCCTGGCAAGACCCACAGGTTCCTGGCTGCAGCTCAGGCTTGACTGGTCCCCCAGCCCTTGGCATTTGCTGCCTCGGCTGAGGCCTGGGTCAGGGGACGGGTTTCTGCCGGGGCCTCAGAGGCTGCTTCTCTCATTCAGTGGGGAAGGCCCCCCACGCCGCTGCTCGCTGCTGGGCCAGAGAGCTCCCGAGGTTCTGACTGGCGCCTCTCTCCTCCCCGGGGTCCCCATCCCCAGGCCCCAGCCAGCTGGCCCAGGAGCGCGTTTCCTAGGCCCAGATCCTCTAACCCGGGCTGGTCTGACTCTAGAGACCCGGAATGCCTGGGGCTGAACCCACGGACGTCACTCTTCCCGGACGGAGATGGTCAGGAGTGCAAGGGGGACAACGGGGGGAGGGTGTGCCCAGAACAGGCTGGAAGGAGGGCTCGGTGTCCATGGGAGCCCAGGCTGTTCACGGTGAGAACAGTGCCCGCTGGAAGCTGTGCTGCGGAACGCAGTGACCCCTGAGGCGATGCGGCATGACTAGACAGCAACAGAACAGAACAGACATGACAGGGCGCTGGAGCCTGAAGAGGAGCTGAAAAGGCGCCTTGGTCTGGGGTCTTCAGCCCGGCAGGGGAGGGCACAGACTCGGGGGGACACGGTGGGCCAGGCCTTCTTGGATTCTGTGCCCCTCTTGGTTCCCCAAGTGAAGAGAGAGCCCTGGAGCCTGTGGTGTCTGTCTGTTCTAGGCAAGAACCCATCAGCCTGAACCCCGAATTCCTCAGCCATAGAGACAATAATACCAGCTCAGGTGGCCTCCGTGCACCCTGGGATCATTGAATGCAAAAGGGTTTGTAAACTACAAATGTGGTTCAATTCCATGGGATTTGAAAAATTAAACGAAAACGTTAATTTTGTTCCAGAACATAAAATTGATACGTGTTCACAATATACAATGTAGAAAATCCAAAAAAAAAAGAAAATAGAGCAGCCCATTATGCCACCACTCAGATGTGAATGCTGTGCATATTTTGTAATATCAACTGCCATTGTTGTCTTCATGCCTATATATAAATTTCTACCTTTTATATCCTTTGGCCAAAATTGGATCATACTCTATGTACGTCTTTGAGAACATTTCTTTTTCATTTGGCAACATCTTCTAAACATATTTCCTTATCAATAAAGCTTCCCATACAGCATCATTTATATGGCTGCCTATAATTCCATCCTATATATATATACACATTTTATTCAGTGGCTCTCCTCAATGCTCATCTAGGTTGCTTCCTAATTTTCTCTATGCCACGCAGGGCTGCAATGATTGTCTGATTGTGCCATGTACTCTGCCTTTTCAACTGAATGTTTTAATAGAAGATATATTAGTGTAGGCAGTATTTTTATTCTAGAGAAATGTAGCCCAGGTCTCCCCATCTGCTAAGGCCTGGCCCACCAATGCTTCACCCTGAGCAGACATGAGTCCTCATCCTGGCATTTTCCAGGCTCTGTGTGTCTCTTCTTAGATATTTCTGTATCTCATCTCTTTTGAGTGAGAAAAAATGCCCCTGCTTATGAGAATGGAAAGAACCAAGTAGCGGGAGGAAGTGCCACTCACTTCTTGGCTCACCAGAGAATGGCGTCTCACTGCTGCCCAGCAAGATGTCTATAGTTTTTGACCAGGGCCCAGCCGTGAGCTGTCACTGCTATTGACCGGTGAACTCTTTCTTCTCAGGCGCCAGCTCTGAGCTCATCTTCTAAGGTCATTCATTCTCTAGCCCAGCAAGGCAGTCACTCTCCAGGATCCAGAGCATTCGGCTCTTCTTCCCCGAGTGGCTGAGTTTCCCGATCACAGATGCAAAATCCTCTGACGGAGGATGGAGACACTCTCTGAAGCCAGCCCGCTCCCCCGCCCCCCAGTGATGAGATTTCACCGCCCCCCACCCTGAGTGTTCAGGACCCCTTGTGCCAGAATTACAAGAAACACACCACACCTGCAAAGGGCTGCCTCTCATCTTCCCCGTGACAGTCTCCACCAGGGAAGAGGAAGGAAAGAAGTCCAGCAACCACTGCATCCCTGTCAAGATGTGGACCCTGGCCTAGGCACCCACACGCCAGCTAACAATTGGCTTTGACCGCAGGTCTGGGCTGCCTTGTCACACTACGCCGCAGACTTGCCAGCTGGCCTGTGCAATGGCCACTCAACTGTGTGTAACCCCATCGATGTGGACCCAGCAGCACTATCCAGCTACCGTGTGTCACTGAGCACACAGCTCATTGGTCCCGCCCTGGAGAGGGCTGAGATGCCAGTGTGAGCAGTTGGAGGGGCAGATGCAGATCTGTGGGGCTTGAAGCTTATACTTTTTTTTTTGAGGAAGATTAGCCCTGAGCTAACATCTGCTGCCAATCCTCCTCTTTTTTTGCTGAGGAAGACTGGCCCTGAGCTAACATCCATGCCCATCTTCCTCCACTTTATATGTGGGACGCCTACCACAGCATGGCTTGCCAAGTGGTGCCATGTCCACACCCGGGATCCGAACCCACGAACCCTGGGCTGCCACAGCAGAACGTGTGCACTTAACTGTTTCGCCACTGAGGTGGCCCCAAAGCTTATACTTTTTATGCTCCTCTTTAAAATGAAAATACTAAATTTAAAATACAATACTAGGTACACAAAGTGAATATTTATTTTAAAAGGGCCTGGGTAGTAAGGGGCCTGAAGCTTGAGCTCCATGAAGTATGTGGAAAATCGACCTCTGGCAGAGGGGATGACGCAGATGGCAGGGCGGGGGTCCTGAGGACCTGTGACCACAGACTGCAGGCTCTCAGGAGGGGCCTCACAGTTGCTGGGCCCAAACTTACAAGCCCCGCCTTGATGATATTTACACAAATAATGCATGAACGTGCTCTTCTACATGTAGGGAAAGAAGCAACTCAGAAGAACATTGAGGGAAAGGAACAAAATTCTCTTCCAGCTACTGCTGCTGCCTGATCCGCTCTCTCCTGTAGGTAGTCCCGAGGCATGTTCAGGTGTCTCTTCCAGGCCTTTCTCTTCTCGTGTCTGTACATACGGGCGCATCCACCTCATGACTTTAGGAGGATGCGTGGTAACCCTCAGGACACCTGCTCGTAGTTCTCTTGGCCAGTCTCTTATTGACAAATATTTGGGTTTATTTCAATTGGTTGCTTTTCTTTTCTTTTTTTTTTGAGGAAGATTAGCCCTGAGCTAACATCTGTGCTAATCTTCCTTCATTTTGTATGTGGGAAGCCACCACAGCATGGCTTGATGAGAGGTGTATGGGTCCACACCTGGGATCTGAACCTGTGAACCCCAGGCCATTGAAGCAGAGTGCACAAACCCAACCACTACACCACTGGGCCAGCCCCTCCATGATAAATTTTTATTTTGCATTTATAGGTTAATTTGGAGGGGAATTGACGTCTTTCAAAATGAAGTCTTCCTACCCAGGAGTAGGGTCTTTAATAAGCAATATTTGGTAATTTTCCTTACATAGGTCTTACACTTGTCTTGTTAGGTTTATTCCTATATATTATTTTTATAAGCTATAAATGGGAATGGGAGCTTTAAAAATGTTTTCTAATTATTACTGCTCTGTAGAAAGCCATTGAGTTTTTATGTTGCTCTCCTTCTACCATCTTATTGAACTCTCTTCTTAGTTATGCTAGTATTGTTAGGTGATTTCTTTATAAATTTTTGGTTGGAAAGTCATATTACCTGTAAGCACTGATCACTTCTTCACGTTCATTGCAGCATGGAGTTTGTGAGGTGAACACCGTGATGATGTCATCTGCTGATGTCTCTAAGTCTGCCTGCCCCTCTCAGAGGATTGTGGGAGCCAGCCCACCCCTCACCATTTTACAGGGCCAAGAAACCAGCTGTTAAGTGATTTGGCCACGGTCCCCAGCACTTTGGAGGCCCTGGAATTCGGTCTCCTGAGCCCAGCAGGGTGCCCGGCCTGTCACATCTGACCTGACTCTTTTTGGCACAGCCTTCATCTGCTCGCTACGGAAGGTCGCCCATGGCAGTCGACAGGTGCTTAGGGTACCTGTGTGAAACCCTCACAACAAGCTAGCAAGCAAATGTGGGTTTACCTAATGACTTTCTCCAGAATCTTCCCACTCCCTCATCCCTCAATCTCAGCAGCGGGATGTGCAAAGGAGAGAGGAATGGCTTTGAGGTGTGCACTGCGCCCGTCATTTTGTGACTTGTGACAAATCTCCTTAGTTAGGTTGTCTATTAAGGGAGACAGTCGTTTCAGCTTTAACTTTCTTGTGATTACGTGAGATGATGAAGACGCAGCTCCTGGCACACCGTGAGCTCTCCACGAGTGGGCCTTCCACCCCCTCCCTCCGTCCCTGTCCTGCCTACGCCCTCCCCTCGCCTCTGCACCGCCTTCCTCTTCTTCCTTTGAGCATTTAGCCCATAAATGTGTCCTCTACTTCTGATTCAGTTACATTCATTTCCTTAGTTCCTGACTTTGAAAACAGCAGTGGGCAATGTTGACAAAGACGTCTTGTGACAGAAATTCAGATTGGGTCGAGGGTCACTGCAAGTTGGGGGTCACCGAAGCTCCTCATGAGGGAGCCCTGGGGTGGGATAAGGACAGGGAGGAGCATGCCTGACAGGTCTCACAGCTGGAGAGCGAGGGCCGCTGGCTGCCCCAAGCCTTGCCTGTCTACAGGACCCCTCTTTCCTTGTGCGGGGTATGTTTTGGCTCCGGTGTTGTTACCTGTTTTGCAGGTACCTCCTGTTTGAGTCACCTGTGCTGACTCCACAGCTCTTTGCAGAAGCCTCTCTGGGAGTCTGAGGTCGAACCAGTCGGCAGCCTCCCCTCGTCCCTGCTGCCCTTTCCTGAGACGCCTGTCCCGGGCACTGTACCCTGTGGGGCAGGGCCTGCCCCTGCTCCACAGTGGGTCCTCACCCAGGGGGAGAGTCCCTCACCCTGCGCGAGAGGCCCTCACTGCTGGCCTGGGCCGGGCTGGCTGGGCACCCCTCCTCTGGATGTGGAGCCCATGCCCACTGCTGTGGGAGCTTTCCCCTAAAGGCAGTGTCATCCCTGCTCCTGCTCGGGCTACTGGATGGGAACCCGTGGGTACCACTTAGATCACTCCCATCACATGTGGCCACATCAGAAGGTGATGACATGGGTCACCTTGGGCAGCTATAGAGGAAGCACAATGTTCTGGGGGGCCCCCTCTGTCCCCCCCCCGCCACCCCCCACCGGCCCTGTCTTCTCCCAGTCCCATTAGTCTTCCAGAGGGAAGGGCTCAGACGTCAGGGCTCAGTGTCGGGGCCTCCTCTCTCCTCACAGGTCACCCCCACTGACAGGAGGAGGAGAGAGCCAGGAGGGGCTGCCTGTTGTTTAACTTCTCTAGATTCTGGACTGGCCATCACCCAGGACAGGAACCACGTGCTGCCAGCCAGTCCGGAGGCTTTCTCACAAAGCGCAAGGCAGGGATGGGCGTGGCGAACCCATGGCGATAGCTGCTGCCTCTGGTGAGAGCGCCATTGTCGGCGCTTACTTGGTCCTCACACTAGCCACCGAGTGGATGCCATTATTATCGACTCATTCCACTGCTGAGGCACAAAATAACTAATTAACCTGTCCTAGTCACGTGGCTAACAAGTAAGAGAGCCAGGATTCCAACTCTAGCACCCTGGCTCCAGTCTATGGCCTTACCCCTTACCGTTCTGCCGTACCTCCAACAGAGGAAAATAACGAGGACCAAAGAAGTATTATATTGACTTTTTAGAATGTCATGAAAAATGAAGAGGCACTAAATGACCCAAATGGTTTCACTAATTTTTGATTTCATGAAAGATCATAACAATTCTTCTAAAATCACCATTGATTCATTTGACACATTAACACAAATGTTTGTGAACACCACGAAAAGACTGCTATTTCTTCGTCTAAGTGGAATTACTTCTGAGGTGTGGAGTAGGCTCTGTTCACGTGGCCAGACCCTGCAGGCCGTTGACAGGGGCTGGGTTTCTCATCTAGGCTTTTCCATGCAGCCTGATGTTTCTAGAAGAATGACTGACTGACAAACCAGGTTATTCAGACCTGGGTATTTGGCAGACATTTTCTTGAAAATGAACAAAGTGAGCCTGTTACTTCAAGAAAAATAACTGACAGTATTTGTTGCCCATCATAAAACTGAAGATTTCAAGCAAAAATTAGAATTTTAGAAAACTAGTATGCACCACTGTGAGCTTGATAGCTTTCTGATACTCTCAGACTTTGCTGATGAGATTAATGGCCATATTAATGCTATGATTTCTGGATATTGTATAATGAAATATATCAACATATCATAGATCTGCGTGACTCAATGAATCAATATTTTCCAAATGGCCAATGCGTGATGTCGCAAATTCATGAATGGGTAAAAACAAAACAAAAAAACTATTCAAAGGGCATAATAGCGAGTGGATTTTAATGTAGCAGTGTCTAAAAAATGAATCAATATGGTTTCAGATTCCACATTGCAACTAACCTGTAAGAAACTGCCACGTGTTGAGTTTTGGTGCAGTATCAAGGGATAATAGCCACGATGATCTGAAAGGCCTGTTACAAAGTCATCCTCTCTTTTCCAAACACATATTTGTTTGAGGCTGAATTTTCTTCACGCGTCTCAACTAAAACAACATAATGCCAGAGACGGACTGCAGAAACAGGTGTGAGGATCCAGCTGTCTTCTATTAACTCAGACCTTCAGGAGCTTGGAAAAAGTATGCACTCTTGCCATTCTGCTCATCGTTATTTTCGTTTTGGAAAATATAGTTGTTTTTCTTAAAATGCGAAATTCATGCCAATGTGTAATGAATTTATTATTGTGATTTTTTGATGCAAATTGATAAATATTCAAAAATTTTCTCAGTTTTAATCTCTAACACAGTAAATACCTTCAAATACAACCCACATGAACACAATCTCTTTAGAATGCTCAATAATTTTTAGGAGTAGAAAGTGGTCCTTGGAACAAAAAATCTGAGACAAGTTGCTTATCAGAGATGTCAGCTTTGGTTTCGAACAGTTAGGGGACTCTTTCACGGCCCGTGGTCGGTGGGGAGGGTACTAGGAGCACGGGTGGGTCTCCACACGCCCTCACCTGTCAGCTTTCCCAGCTCTAACTTCTGCCTTTTATGCAAATGGCCTGGACCCTGTCTGGTGTGGCTCAGAGAGCACTGGGCGTGTCTCCTCTTGGGCATGCTATTTAAAAGCAAAATGTAACGTGGGCACCAACATTTATTTCTGAACAATGTGCGAAAAGGGAACAGCAGAATATAAAGTTCAAGAGTAACTGTGTAGTGAGTAATGTAGGTGTCATCTCCCGGGGCCCAGGGAACAGGGGGCGTTACTAGGAAGACTTGGGGGCCACGCTGACATTAGGAGGTTCTGTGCGATGCTCCTGATACTCAGGGCAGATCTGCTTCCTGTCGCCTCTCCTAGCTGCATCTGCATCTGCTCCCCGGCTGTCTCACCTCGGAGCGATGGAAAACGCGGCCTGAGGCACACAACTTCAACAGGCTTCGTATAAAGCGGTTGTGGGTTGTGAGTTGATCTCTAGCACCTGCCGTGCTTTCCTCCCCCGTCACTGTAATACTGAGTTTATATTCTTAGATTTTAAGTGGAAAGATATCTTTGTTCTGAGCACTGAAAAATAGAGTATAGCATCTTCTGTGTATTTTTTTAGGGGGCAGTCCTATCAATGAACACTTTTCACCTTCTTCATCGTTCCTGGCAATATTTACCCTGGTCTTAGCCCTGTTCTGGCAGAAAGGTCCTCAGAGTCAGTGAGGAACGAGAGTGGAACAGGGAGATGAGCAGGGCCTGGAGGCTCAGTATTCGGGGGCATGGGGCTGTGTAGCAGCAGGTGTTCAGGTGGAAGGACACTGGGAACCATTGCCCAGGTGAGCCAGAAGGCTGAGTCCAGGGCGACCGGAGGGAGGACACAGGTGAAGATGAGGGCAGGGCTGGAGGTTTAGGGAGGGGAACTCAGACAACTGTTCTGGAGTAGTTTGCCTGCTCTGATGAGCATTTTTATTTAATTGGCCCTGCTGAGCACACACTGCCTCCTGCTAAGTCTGGCCTCGGAGAGTCGCAGTAGTCTTGGAGAAGTTCATCGAGAAGGCAGGCATGAACTTGACCTTGAAGAGTGCCCAGGATTTGGGTAAGTGAGGAGGAGCAGGAAAAGGGTTCAAGGGTTAGGAAATGGAGCGAGCAGAGGCATGAAGCAGGAAGATTCAAGGCATGTGGATCAATTGGAGTGAGAAGTTGTGTGGGGAGCAGGTTTGGGCTACAAGAAAGAAGGTCTTGAATATCAATTCCAAACTCGAGTCTGGGTTTTGCCCTTTGGCCGTGGGGAGCCATGGGTGGTCTTTGAGTGGTGACTGGCCTATGTGCATCGGGGCTCTCAGAAGCTGAGATTGACAGTGATCGATTGAAGGGGGAGCTCTACACCGGAACCGTTAGGGAAGCTGTTCATTGTGGGCAGTGGGAAAGGAAGGGAAAAGATGAAAAATAAGCCCTTCGGAGGGACCGACTGAAGTCGCATGGCGAGGGAGTGGGAGGAGTGAAAGATGGTGCCAAGTTCTCAGCCTGACGCCAGCGAAATACAAATACACTTGTGTTTCTTTACATAGCTGAATGTGCAGATGATCTTTAAGAAGTGTTCGTCTTATTTGGCACTTAGTTTCTGGGAGGAACAGGAGGAAGGATTCTCTCAGGCTGGGGATCAGGTTTTAGCTCACTTCGAGGCTGTTATTATTACTTAAGAAAACACAGCTATGATTCCCGGGGTGGGGAGCAAACGTAAAGATAGTGAGCTTACGCCTCACGTTGTTTGTGGACTCCTGTCTCCTCCACTAGCCCCCCCGTCGCCCCTACTTCTGGTGCCCATGCCCTGGTGGAATATGCTTCCCTTGGGTGTGGGCGGGACCTGGTGACTCGATTCTCATGGATAGATGTCAGCAAACGTGATGAGATGCCATTTCTGTGATTAGGCTACAAAGTGACCGTGACTTCTGTCCTGGTCTCTCTCAGTCTTTTGCTCGCTCACTCACTCGCTCGGAGGGAAGCCGGCTGCCATGTTGTGACTGCCCTGTGGAGAGGCCCCCGAGGCGAGGAATTGTGGTCTGCAGCCAACAGCCGGCGGAGACCCGAGGCCTGCCAGTAGTCTCATCAGTGAGCTTGGAACCAAGTCCTGCCCCAGTCAAGCCCTGAGGTGACCACAGGTGTCACCCCGACTGCAGCTTGTGAGAGGCCAGGAGCCAGAGGAACCAGCTATGCCACTCTCAGATCCCTGACCCACAGGGACCGAGACAATCAACATACATTGTGTTAGGCTGCTAAATCTGGGGAAGTTTGCTACACTGCTATAGGTAGCTCACACACCCAAACCCTCTTGGTTGTGTCCAAGAGCACTGTCCCTGAAGCCAGACTGCAAGAGTTCAAGTCTTGGCTCTGCCATTTACAACTTATTATTTAATTCCATGTTCCTCAGTTTCTTCATTTGTAAAATGGGAGTAAGAATAACACCTGTGCCATAGGGTGATTGTGAGGATTGAGACAGTCCCCATAAATTGATTAGAACAGCGTTATGCTCCATAGGTATTAGCTCCCATTATTATTATTATCGTCTGTCCTTTAAGGGCCAGCCTGATGCTAATCCCTCCTATGACTCCTACTGTACCGCTCCAACCCGTGCTGACCTCTCCCTCTTGGAGTTTCTATGGCATCTTCTCTGTACTTTACTCTCTAGTTCTCCATCTAAAATCCTCTGACTTGTCCTCTAATGGCCTCACATGTACAAACTCTTCCCTCTCTAACTGGATCCAGTCCTGTATAAACTGGGACTCGGACTCCTGACTGAGTCCCATAAGGACTCGGCATAGTGCTTGACAAAGCATAAAGGGTTGGGATTAAACGAAGCAGGCAGATGACGAAGGAAATGGGGTCCACTGTGAGCTCATGAGGCCAGGGACATGTGGCATTATTGGTTGCTGTGACCAGGGCCTAGCACTGTCCCAGCACAGAACAGGTGTGAGATGGTCCTGTTAAACTGGAAGGAGCAAGCAGGCAGAAGACACTAGATGGGCCATACGTGAAGCCAACGAAGGAGGGACATGAAGGTCCATGCGGGGGGCGGTCCTGATGACACCAGGTGGGTGCTTGGCAAATGTTTGTGCAAAAATGGAGCATGCAGCCCGGTGTTCATCCTGGCTGGTTTGTGAAAGCTCCCAGAATCTGGGTGAAGTGGTTCGAATTTGGATGATGGAGAATGAGGTCCATCACCGTGCGAGGAAGAGAAGAGCCGAGAGCCGGAGGAAAGAGCTTCAACGTGGGAGTCCGAGTGCTGCGGTGTGAGGTCCTGGCTGGCACTTCGAGGTTGTTTCTTCTTGGCAGCCAGCGCACTGTGCAGACCTGGGTAGATGCTTGCCAGCAGGTAGGGAGAGAGTGGAGGTTCTGACACGTGGAGAAAGGACCAGCAGCTCCTCCTTGGCACATGGTCAAGGGAGGTTGGATCCACCTCATCACACGCACCCTGAGTGGCCACAGATGGTGAAATGATGGAGCCGCAACTCTGAGTCCTGCCCAGTGGAGCCTGGGGCAGGAATGATGAGGTGACTCCATCTCCAGGGTGCTAAGGATCAGTGTCTGGTCCGCCATAGCAAGATGACTTCCAGGACCCCAGACGCAAGCTCCCTGCAAGTGTCCACCAAGGCGGTCAGAACAGCTTGTTCGGGAGCTGCCACTCATCCATCCACATGTGTTTTCTGAGCGTCTACGGTGTGCTGGGCCCTACAGAACACTGGGGCTTGGACAAACCTAGACAGTGTTCCTGTCCCGGTGGCTCTTACCATCTCGGGCAGAAGGCGGGTGGTCCAGACTCCCAGGGTCTATGGAAATGTACAGGGCTTTTGATGCTGTCACAATGGCTGGAAGTGCCACAGGCATGCAGTAGGTGGGGCTGGGCCCTCCTGCAGTTCACAGACAATACCCCAGGGTAAAGCATTACCCTGCTCAAAACGAAGGTCAACTTCCCCTTTGGGAATTATTAGCCCAGTGGGAGAGCTAAATGTTAATCAATTAACCACACAAATAAATGAATAATTACAAACCATGTTAAGTGCTAGGAAGAAAATGGTACAGGAAGCTGGCAGGGGGCTAATACAGGACCTGGCCTAGACTGGGTGCACGGGGGCGTAGGAAAGGAGGAAGTCTTCCTGAGCAAGCAGGCATTGGGCTGCAATGGGAAGCATGAATGGGCATTGGGTCAAAGGGGTGAGTGCAGGGCTGTGTGTAGGGTGGGGTGGTGAGGGGTGGAGATAGAGGAAGATTGTTCTAGACACACACACACACACACACACATACACACAGAGAAAAATGGGGAGAAATAGGCTGAGGCTAGTGGCACAGGCCCTAAGAAGCCATGTTGGATTCTGGTCTGTGTCGCGAGAGTTTTCTGCAGGAAGGTGAGATGATGGCTTTGGAGATTTGGAGGGACATGGAGGACAGACTGGAGAGGGACGAGTAAAGTGGCGAGAGTGGTCAGAAGACTACAGCCCTGCCTGGTCCCCAGAGATGGTGCTTGCTTGCACTGGGGAATGGGGATGAAGACGACCAAAGTGGATGGATGCCAGGAGGGAAACAGGACTTGGGGTAGATTAGATCTGGGAGAGAGAGGATGGTGGCAAAGATAAACCAGAGAAAACTTACTGAACGGTGGCCGGTCAGTAAGTTACAGACTCCGGAAGCAGAACGGGTCTGGGAGCAGGTCATGAGCGCAGTTTTGG